CTGTCTGCCCTAGGTAAGGGATTCTTGCTTCAAACACCATTTATTGTAGAAATTGTTGCTAGGGTTCTAGAAATTGTGTGTGTATCCTTAAAAGAGCCCCAGAAAGACAGAATCGGAGGTTCATTTAAAATACTATTTTGTTGTCCTTAATACCCATCTCACCTAACACCCATCGCTCCATAGCAATAGAGTGAGAAATTAAGAATAGAACGCTTTCTGGAGGGCCAGTGGTACCCAAAGGATTTGAGTTCTTCTAAGAAACGTAACAATTGTAAAAAGCACTGAATTCAAGAACAATAAGCCAAACTCACACCATCACACAACATCTATCTGTGCAATGCTTTGATAAGGAGCAAAAGGAACAGATTTGTGTCATTTACTTTTGTCAGGTTATGGGGAAAAACTCACAACACAAAAAGACAACACTTCAAGTTATATTAGATTTTGATTTGTTTTAAGGGACCCTTGGGTTAAGAACAAGCAAAACAGAACACACTCATCTTTGAGTGGGAAAGAGAAGATTTTTTTCTCTTGATATCGTTCACATGTGGATGGTAAGGCTTCCCTGACAGTCACCATTTTCTAAAATGTAGTTACCCGAACACATCTGAATAACACAAAAGAGAAAGGAACATTTTGATATGTTGAGGAAAGTTGTTTTGACAAATGTCAACGCCTGGGTCTTGCTAGCTGAGGCCTGTTGTTAACTTCCCAAGTCTGCATGCGTGCTACAGCTTATGCCACTCTGTCGGGGAAATTGGACATACCCAACACAATTTCATTTCCATTTCTCTACAACATTACAAGCTTCCTTGGCAGCAAAATCACATATTCTTATCACAAAAATAAATGAGAGAAAAGAAGACATACATTCCTGTCAAGTTATGTCAAGACATATTTGGTATGTATTTCACTTCACTATCACTGACAGCAAAGATGTCACGTATTCTTAATACAAAGTAAAGAAGTATTTTCCTTTTTTCCCCCTGCTAGGCATCAATTTCATTTTATTCACTTACAAGCACCAGTGACAGGAAGGTGTCTTTTTAAAACAAAGCTTTAAAAAAGGCAAAACCCCGCCCCCCCCCCCCGTTTTTGTGTTTTGCTGGATTTCTGAATGGACATATTGTACATGAATTTAATTTGACAATATCATAATAACCACAGTAATAGTCATCTATCACCACTTTATTCTCCATTTCCACAGCCCATAGTCATTGCTCTGATTTACTTCTTTCCATGCATGTGATGGAATTGGGGTTAAAATAAATCATGGAGATGTTCATTTTCTGTTAAAGGTGCCAATGGAATAAGAAAGAAAAAAAAAAGGAAGGAGAGAGAGAAAGAAAGAAGGAAGGGAGGAAAGGAGGAAGGAAGAAAAGAAAAAGGTAGGAGAGAAGAAAGAGAAATTAATTAATTCACTTGAAAGTGTTATAGGTCCTGAACACTAAACAAAGCAAAAATCTTAAAAGACTTAAATGTGATGGAAAGTTAACACTGAATTGTCTTCTAAACAGTTCATATTGAATGATTAATTTTTACCTTTACTTCATTATGTTCTATTTAATTATGATATTCTGATAAACATGCATTAGAGTTGAATTCAGTGGAAGAATGACTCCTTTAGCTACCTTGCCGGAAGTGGGTGGAGTTCTTGCTTCTGAGAGTTGATACGCAAACCAAATTCACTGGACCAACAGCACCTGGGAAAGGTGAGAGTTCCCCCAGGTAGCCTTGCTCTTTCCTCAGGAGGAGCCTTCTCTGAGAATGCTTTGCTTATTGCTCTTGGAATGCCATGGGACTCATATCTATGACACTTATAAATCCATAGCATTTAAGGGCCAAGAATTATTTTAGACACTATTTAGTCAAACATTCTACAGCTTAAAAATGAAAGCCTAGTGCAGTTGAGATCAAACAGACAGTTCGTAATCAAGTTAGACTTAGGAATTAGCACTTAATCTGATAATAATGAAGGACCATTAGAGATTTCTATGCAGGGAAGTAATATGATAAAAGCAATGGGTGTACATCACTGTTTTCTAGACTTTTGAATTTCACAGTCCAAAAAAGTTCTGGAATTCATATGCCGCCAGACGTGCACACAGACAACAGAAAATGAGAGGAACTAAATATAGTATTGCAACTTTTCTCTTTTGTCAACTGGAAAAATAAAAGCAAATGGGGACATAATAGTCACTGAATCAATACTTATTAAAATTTAATATGAGATATTTTTAATACAAAAAAAGCTATGAAATTCTGAAATTTTTTCAGAACCGAAATTTCCGTTAGTCGCTGGAGATTCTGATTCCACAGGTCCACGTTGAGGCCAGGTTTGGGGAACCACTGATTTATTCAGCCTGTCCTCCAAAGCAGGAAGCTTTCCCCTAATCCCTGAGAGACAATGGCATGGACTCTGCTGGGTGCCTGTTCCAGTGGGGGCCCTTCCTCCTTGAAAGAGATTCAAGAAATCAGTGTCTGCTAGAAGCTGGTGTTTTGGAATCCAAAGCTGGGCATCACAGACTCAGCTCATTTTCCAAACATATAAAAAGAGGATTATGATACGAAATTCCCATACCACAGGACTGTCATGAGGATTAAATGGAAATATAAATGTAAAAATGTCTGTGTAAACTGTAAAACACTCTACAATTATTAGTTCCTGTTAAGAATATTCAGAAGCTGGCGTCTGATTTACTGATTCTCTCCAGGGTTGAATTAAAAGCAAAATAATGTCCCCCCCACCATACATGAGCACAAAAGTTCTCAAAATAGAACATGCTAAACCAGAGATACTTTGTCCTAGAAGGGACCTGAGGTGATTCTTTGAGTTTTCCTCATTTTAGCATTCAAATGACTGGAGGGATCTTGGAATCACACAGCTATTTCCTAGAATCCTCATCAAGAAGAAACACCACAATTGCCCCTCTTCTCCCGACTGATGTTTACGTTGTAGAGTTAGAGGGCATTCCTTTTCTAAGAACACCTAACGCACCAAAAAATCCAACGGGGTGCTCATTGGCCCCTACACTAACTGGTACCTACTAGAGGCAGTGAATTCAATCCGTGTTAGAGCTGAAAGGTGCTTTAGACTTCACAGTTCAGCTCTGTTATTTCACAGATGAGGAAACAGAGACCCTTTCAACGGGAGGAGTGACTTGCCCAACATAACACACATCCCTCAGGCTAGCGTTCTGTCTGAAACGCTACAACGGTGAAGGGCTTCTCCTGTTGTTCTTAGCCCACCTGGGGATGCTCCTCAACATATGGTATGTACACAATCACATATTCATACAGCAAACACACAAAAACAGCAAGGCGCCACATCATGACTCTGTCTCCCTTCCTCCCTCCCACCTCTCCAGGGACCAGGTGCATTCATTCGTTTGTTCCTTCCTTTGTTGATTCTTTTACTGATTCATTCATTCAACAATCAAGTAATCCTCAAATATTTAGTGAACATCTACTACATGCCAAGCACTGGGCTTGGCAAAATTAAAGGCGGTATGGAATAGAAGACTTATACTGTACGTGTGGAAAATAAACCACCACCAGAAGTATAGAGGTCCAGCGTGAAAGGCAAGAGTTAGAGCAAAACGGCACATTTCAGTAACCCAAAGAATGATATAGATGAGCAGTGAGTAAATTCACAGCAGTTAGAAAAAGAAAGCTTGGTGAGAAATAAACATTCACTAAAAACAAACAAACAAGCAAGCAAAATCAGTTAATTAAGGGCTCAGTAACATTTGCGTTTCACAGTATCAGGCTCTAGTCTGTCTCATGCACAGTGTTGCACCAGTGCCCAGAAAATGGGCCCGCAAGCAGGGAGTGTTCAACGAGTATCTGTGGACTGAATGGCATAGGTGTAGGATGTCCACTCCTAAGCCCCCAGGCCTATCCTGAAATAGGAATTTAAGTCCATTATTAAGAGGACCCAAGACGCCATATTTGTTAAATGTTTGACCCAGAGCTTTGGGCCCTTTCATCATGGCTGGTTTTGAGGAAATGGCAGAATTTTAAGAGTGATTTTTATGTGATTTTATTCCTTCAGGCATGAAAACACACCCATTTTTCAATATTTTTAAACAGTTTTAATGTTCTAGAAAAAGTGAATCATTAAAAAATACGTGAGAACATTGATAGGGCACACATTTTTTCCTTTCACCTCAGGCTCCAATATGGTTTGGCATGGTACTGGTCTTTATTTAAAATTTTGGTATTTGTTCATCATGGATTTTTTACATTAATTTTGATTTTTTTAAGTATTACGTTAAAATAGTACTTATCTCCGTGATGAGGTTTTTGATTTCCTTCCTTAAATTTTGCGCTGGAAGCTAGTGCCTGGCTCGCCTTAAGCTAATCCTAGCCCAAAGAACCCCCTCTGCCACACTCTTTCCTGCGGCCTTGCCCGGGGTTCTTCATACCTCAAGGTCATACTAATCCGCGTTAGGGGAACCTGGAGACTGAAGGGACACAGAAAGACCAATAAACGGGTCCTGAGAAGCTGGGAAAACTCATACCCTTAACAATCAAATTGTATTTCAAATGCATTACAATAGATTCCAAAGGTGAATTTATTAATGTGAATTACTTTAAGGCAAGGAGTCATTTTGTTTTTATCATATATTTGTTTCTATATACTATTTTTACTCAAAACAAGACACACACATCCCTTCTTGCTTGCTTGTTTATTATCAATTCTTCCCCTAATGAATATAAGAGAGAAAGAATAAGGTGAGCACGAAATAGAAACTCACCAGTGGATAAAAAGGGGTACCTATGGTGGGGCGCAATTTGTGAATAGCCTCAGAAATCAGAAACTCTGACTAAAAAATGTCTTGGGACTGGCAGATCTGGACTGGGAGCAGAAAGTGTTTAAAACTCATGATTTAGAACTAGTTTTAAATCTTCCCATAATAGAGTTAAGTGGAATTTGTTATGGGGAGAAATAATTAGTTCCTATTATAAGGTCTAAAACAACTAAAACTGTGCAGGATAATTTTATTATGTTTTTTAAGACAATTATAAAAGTATTACATGCACATAAGTTTATAAAATTAGAAAATATTACAATAGTGAAGAAAATAAAAATTACCCGTAATGTTACCACCCAAAGATAACCATTGTTAACATTTTAGTACTTTCCTGCTAGTCTTATTACTATGTACATTTGACATCACACTTCTTTTGCAGTTCTGTATCTTTACTTATTTAATATTATATCTCGAGCATTTTCCCTATATCTTCAAAATTATTAATGTGTATCATTTATAATAACTGCATAATATTCCATCATATAGATTTAACAGGTCTCCTGTTGTTGGACATGCATTTTGTTTTCAGTTTCTGCCATTACAATAATTCTGTAATAAAAATCTTTGTACATAATTCATTGGCTTAATTGCTGCCAATTGGCTTATGCTAGATTTCTAGAAGTTGAAATAATATTTTTTATTTTTGAAGAACATATGAATTTTTAGCTCTGCTTTAATTTATTTTTAGGTATAACTTAAATACCATTTCACACTCTATTATACATGCTCTCTGCTGGTCTTTTTGGGTTTAGTGTCTAATGAGAAATACTAAGGTTATTATAATAATTGGGGAAATATATCAGTGAAAATGCTAATAGTAAATGTTTCAATCAGAAATTTTTTTGGTGAAATCAAATGCCATATTTTTTTCTTTTGAATAAAGAGTCTTTGGGTTATTAAGAATTATTAAGAGTTGCCTGCTTTTTCTATCACTTTGTTTACTTTGTTACATTATGCCCACAATAAATAGGCTGGCTGGAAGAAATACAACCTCCTTTGAATTTCAACGCCTCAGACATTCCTCCATCAAAATTAGGGTTGATGCTCTTGTTAGGCTGCATCTGAAGAAATGACCGTATGTCTTCTTTCCCTCCTAATTTTAGTTAGTCTGGTATTTTTCCTAAATGAGTATTCAGACAAATTTCTAAGCATTCCCTCAATCTGCTGGTTCTTGCTTTCGTGGGTGGCCACCCCATGGCTCCCCAAGCAGCCCCTTGTTGGCCCCACATGCTTACTCGTTGCCAGGGACTTCCCTTGTACACTGCCCCAAGTGTCCATACAAGTCACAATAAGGCTCACACCTGTGATGAGCAGAGATGGACAGAAAGGAAGTTTCTTAAGAGCCATCAAGTGGCCAATTACTTTAAAATAGTTAATGAGAGTTAGAGGCATCTTTGGAACCACCAATTATTAGTTCCATGACTTTCCCACCTCCCCAGCTGCTCAAAATAATCAAGGCTAATCTCTTTTCAGTACTTATCTTGTGTCAGACACTGTGATAAACTCTTTACAAACATCATCCGTTAAATCTCCAAACAACTTCATGAAGTGGGTACTATTATTATTTCCATTTTACAGATAAGGAAACTGAGGCCAAAAGATCCTAATGTTCAGACCCCAGAGCCCATGCAGCTACTGTGCTATGCAGCCAGCACCCACATTCTCACACCTCACTTTTAATCTCTGAGTGGGCAGGATCTGTTAGGTGCCTAATGGCAAAATGCACTGACCTAATGAAGGACGAGAGATCAAAACCTCCTGGTTTAGTCTTCGGGGTGAAGGAGTGGGGAAAAGGCAGACCAGCAACTGAATGTCAAAGTGGGCCTCCTTGCATCTCCTTTCTGAGTTTCTCCTACCTCTTAGAATCTTCTCTGTCTTTCCCTCCCCTATGCCAGAAGCTTAGTGACGTCTTTCTGACTCTATTGCCCAAACACCCTCTCTCCAGCAATCTAACGGCTGTAGCTCCTGCTAAGGTGTCTCACCTTGTAACAACCCCCTGGAGACTGAAGGAAGATGCTTCCTCTCTTACCTCCTCAGAGCTCTGCTCTGCCCAGACTAGCCTGCTCAGCTCAGTATTCACTAAGGGCCTACTGCTACCCCAGCCTCCAATTATTTCTGATATTAAATTCCATCAGGGAAGAAGTGTGTGGTTGTAGAAACATCTCCAGATCAGAGCAGTGAAACTTGGTTCCTTGTCTTCCATTTGCCATGGATTCAGCCGACATTTTGCAAGTGCCTGCTATGGACCAGGTGATTGTCTAGACAAAGGAAAGCACATCAAAATAAGAAACATGGGTCCCTGTCTTCAAAAGACTCCAATGGGGAGGCATGAAAATTTGATCAAGTAAACTAACTGGAGTTTCAATTTTATCAACTGTGGAAGGGTAACTAATAATATTTTCATTGTCTGCCACACAGTTTAGTAGCATCTTCCTGCCCCATCTTCATCTTTGAAGATGACCTACCTCTCAGCTGCTGGATTGCTATCAAACACAATACTAATTCTCCCACTTCCCTGCTTAAGACCTTCCATGATGCTCTGTCACCTTTAGGGTCAAACTCTTACTCATCAGTCTGCTGTGCAAGACCCTTCATGGCCTGACACCTGCCTGCCCATCCCGTTTCAGCTCTCTCCATCCTCACATGCCCCTGCATACAACCAGGCCAATTATTCCACGTTATCTTCCGTCTCCTCTCCCTGAAACTTTTCGCAGTTCTGAAGCCCACTCCTTTGGGCCCCTCAGTATCCCAGGCTTATATCTAACAGCACTTCTCACTCCGTTAGTCTCCTCCAATTGACTATGAGCTTTTGAGGACGGAAACTGTGCCTAACACAGTGTCTAGCTCACAACAGATGCTTAATAAATGTTTGTTGAAGGAAAGAAGGAGGGAAAAACCCAAATGATTCTTAGGCTGTATGGAGTGGTTGTTATTCAACAGCTTGATCTTCCCAATGCCCCTTAAATAATCACACAGCAGAATTACTGTTTGGTTATGTCCAGTCCCCATGATGGGAGCAAGTAAATATCTCCACGTCTCTTGCTGCTAAGGGAAGAATCTCATGGTTGCTCATACTTCTCCTCAAAGAAGAATTTCTTCTAGCACTGGAGACCTCCAGAGCTACCATGGCTCAGAGATTATCATCAATAAATATGGATAATTCCATGAGATAGAACTTTGAATGACCCACACAAGAATGACCTAAAACCTCAACACCTTTCCTATCCTGTCTCCAGTGTACAAGGCAGAGAGTCAAGCCAGCAGAGATCAGCCAAGACAATAGGTGACTCAGGACAGAGAAGGAGGGAGGACTTGCTGGGTATGGGATTGGGCTACAGAGGTCCTCAGAGGGTCTCAAAACTGTGTCTAGTTCTAGTTCCTTTCTTTCAGCCAGCTCTGGAAATGCTGAGTTCCAATGCACACTGTCCCTCCACTCCTACTCCAGGCCAATGCTCGGTCAGTTGATTCTTCTGGCGGATACTGGGCCAGATTTCTGCTTTCCTTGCTAATTTCCAAGAGGAGACCTTGATCAGAAAACCAACTCACAAAACCACCCTTGGTTTCAGCCCCACTCTGGTCAATCCCACCAGCCTGTAAAGTTTTCCTATGGGAAATAGGAGTGGATTCAAATGTGCATAAACTCATAGCTGACCTCTATTCTGTCAGATCACTCACCAAATCCATACCCAAGAATCCTTGACCTTCATAACCTGCCAATCATGGAGCATGCCAGCCTTTTAGCTGGCATGATTATCTGCCCCATCTATAAAAAAAAATAGAGATAACAATTTAAAGTAAGTTCTTTAAATATTGGATCTAATTTTAGAAGTCCTGTTTTTTCTTCCACTTGTATATCCTATTCCTCTCTCTCTGTCTCTGTCTCTGTCTCTGTCTCTCTCTCACATATACACACACACGTGAAGTACTTTATTCCCCATTGTTATATTTTTGTTCATGCTGATCCACCTGCTAGGATATACTTAAACTCAATTTGTCCTACAAAGCCAACTTAGGCCATTCTTCTGCCATGCTCTTACAGCACATTCCTCCCCAAAATCCATTCTTAGCACTCACTGTGCAATTTTGAAATGGTTTGTTAATGTGTCTTTCCCCACTCTAGGCTCTAAGCATCTTAGAGCACAGGCTATACCTTATTTGGCTCTCTCTCAGTATCTGGCTCATAGTAGACACTCAGTAAATACTGACCAAGCCCAACACTTTAATGGAGCTTTCGCTGGCCATGTCAGCCCATGACTAGTCCTCCCTTCTTTCACCTCCCCTCCCATTGCACGTGCCAGTCAGGGCTGTGCAATTTGATGCCTAACCTGTTTTCGAGTTAGTTCATGCTTTGCCAGTGCTGTTCTTGCAGCCAAATCTTCACGGCTGGAGATCACATCACATATTCCTTCTGTCACCCTCATAGTCCCTAGAAGTGCTGGATGGAGAGCGGCACAAAAAGTAGTTGTACATTGTTTGCTTTCCTAGAAAGGAAGGGCTAGTCACAAACTGATCATGAGACACAGAAAAACAGGGGGATTTAAAGAATTATGTGGCTCTTGATTTTCTCAAGAGTGGTATTGTCCTGGTCAAACTTGATGAGTTTCAGTTTTCACAATTAACTCCCGTTTACTGGGAGCTTCTGTGAGTCAGGCATTTCACTGAACTTGTTATACACATTTAGTCATTGGATTTTCATGAAAACACTGCAGGGCAGATATCTTTGTCCCCACTTTACACATGAGGAAATTGAAGTTTGGTAGGGCTTGGTGACTTGCCCAAGGTCACTCAGTTAGGTAGAGAAGATGCAAGAACCAAACCCAGTTCTGTAAGACACTACAGCCTATACTCGTTCCTTGCACTACAGAGCTTAGCCTGGTCGAGCAGTCTCTGACCCTTCTTTCCTATTGTTCCTCAGTCACAGCAAAGATCCCACCATATGCATCTCTCATCTGTTTCAGAGAACCTGAAAGAGGCCATGTTGGTTTGGGCCTTCCAGGGTGACTAGATTTCTATTGGTGGGCCTGGATGTCCAGTTCATCTTGGGGCTGTGGCTTAGAGGTTCCTAAAGCAATCTGGTTTACCCAGAGTCTAAGAGGTTAGGAGCGACCTAGGGCCAGCAAGGAGGCCCCCAAGGGTCAGTGCTAATTGGGGCAGATGCCCCAGGGGTACATAGCCCGGACTGTTCCCAAGGAGTTCAGCTGGAACCAGATTGCCTCAGGAATGTGAGTGAGGCAAACAACTGCTTGATTGTTTGAGCCCCTCCACTTGGTACCCGGTGCTGCTTCCCAGCTAAATGTAGGCCAACAGGATTTCTGAAAACTGTTTGCAAAGCTGAACGCAACACTTCTTTCATTTGCATTTAAAAAATAAACTCAGCCTTGAAATGGGCATTAGCCAAGCCCTTCCTGAAAATTGAGAAAGAGTGTAATGGAATAGATCTCTGCTCCCCAAATGCTCCTCTCCCCAGTTCACATGTAAGCAGGGGCTTGTTTTGTTTTATAAGCCTCTCTTTCCATTAAACTCCGGCTCCAGACCTTGAATAATGAGCTGCAGCCTTTCTTCTTCTAAGATAAACTGGTCCTTACTGAGGGACTTGCAGAGAGTACTAGAACTTCCCCCTGGTATGACTGTTTTAGAGCCTTCATCTTGAATGTCCACATTTTAAGTGCATGTTCATAATTATCCCCAAGCCATAAAGTCCATCATTCATAAATTAAGCTAGGATGGCACCTTGATTTCCCTCTTGCTGTCACAGTGGAAAGGCTCCACATGGATCAGAAATGGGCAACTTCTTCTTCTGGCGAGCCCGTCTGCCCCTGCCCTCTCCTTTCCGAGCCACCTGTAGCACATGGTCAGACGAGAGTTTTGGGCCACATTTACTGGCTTTTGAGAAAGTAGTTGCTTTTCTATTACTTGTTTTCTGTACCTCTTGCATTAGATATGATCTAAAAAAATGATAATGATATGAGAATAATAAAAACTAAACTTGATAAATTTAATCGCATCAATATATTCCCACTTTTCCAAAATCAAACTCATTATAAAACTACCTGGACATAGCATTCTGGGTCTCATTGATTTTATCTCGGGGAAAAAATATATTTGCCTATAGAGTGATTTAATACATGGGAATTAAGCTTTCTGGAAGAGTTTTGAAGGACCTCCATCTTTTTTTATCTCCTTCTGGACTTTATCCACACAGCCTTTTCCTTAGGTGTCAAAGATGACACCACTGACTTGATTGTTCTCTGGGGGCTGATGTGGCTGAAATGGACAATACGTAATCAACATGTGGCCAGTGTACTTATAAATTAAATGATAGTGATAACTTTCAGAAAAGTATTTTTTCCCTCCAAACTTAAAACATTTTCCTTCCTTCTTAAGCTTACATTTATCATCTCGTACAAATGCAGTTTTTAAAGGAAGTACTAGGTAGAGTCATCTCTTAGGTATTTTTGCCTTAGATGACTGAACAAAATTATTGTATTTCCCTGATTTCAGTGCAGTTTTAGGTTGTGTTTCCATGTCTGTTTGGTGGTGTTATTTGTAAAAACTATGACTCTGTTAGAATAACCGGGGGGTAGGGGGTAAAAAGATCTATCTGGAGAAGTCTGATTTGTTTTCCACGTCTGTAATCAAATTTCTCATAAATGATATGCCGTGTTGTATAATGTTTGAAATTTTGCTGTCAGAAACACATATATATGCTTTGTGGTTGAATTCACCCAGGTTTCATTTTAAATCATGTAGGTCTCTAAGCCATTTCCACCAAAATGTGGTAAAACGCAGAAGTTGGCAATTCAATTTTATTCAGCCTTTCAAGAAGGAAGGCCCAGATAAGCTTTGCTTGTTCATGTCAGTGATAATATTCATCAGTGAGGCCTAAATCTAATTCTGTGGGCTTGCTCCCGCTTTGTCGCACAGGCATTTCTGAAGCTCAATCTCCTCTCTCCCTCTCCCTTGCCCTCTCTTTTTTTAATCACAGCAAAGTTTCTTAAGAGCTTAACTTACAGCAGAGTGCCAGCTCCCCCATTGAATTTGTCCTGCTTCCTCACAGCACTTGTACTTTACGCTGAGGCAGAGGTGAGGTCAGTTCTCAGGGCCCGGCTCTCTGGACACCCTCAATGATGACCTCATTAGAGTCACAGATGTTTGCTGTACTTTGGGAGATCTGGAAAAAACAGAGCAGTAAACTAGGCCAGCTTGCAGTAAGGCTGTTACCCACAATTCAAGATAAAATGCTGGATAGTTCCCACTAGGTTCTGGTCGGCTAGGAAACGGCAACTTATTAATCTTGTGTCAGAGAGCCAGCTGCAGCCGTGGCAGTTACCATATTTCACCACCAACTCCGTGTCTGGACAGCCATTGTCTTTTTTTTATGAAAAAACTCTACAAATCAGCTGCGTTCTCTCTCCCCCTCTCCCTCTCCATTCCCCCTTTAACTTAGCAAAGCCCCCGTTTGTCCTCCTTGGAGAAATTGTGCTCCAGCACTGCTAGAGTTCGGGAGCATCGTCGATCCTGTAGTTGGTTTACTAATTCAGAGAGACTGCTTACTTTCCAACTTTAATGATATTCCCTCAGCATATCACTTTGGTTGCCTGGCGACCGGATTTGAGCTAGGCCTCTCATTTGATTCCCACACATCAGACCCTGAAAAGCACTTTTTTTTCCCCGTCCCTCAGCTTTTGATTCTTTCTCCTCTGAAACCCTTCCCCCTGCGGTGTCAGTATGGGTGGGCAGAGCAGTGGTAGAAAGAGGGCAAGGGTGAAGGGCGGCCTATAGCGTACTGGTCACACATCAAGGCCTCCAAACAAAGCCTCCGGGAACCCTTCCTGACAAACACAAATTCCCCTCAGAAAAAGCAAATTTGGCTTTCCCTTCATACGATGGGTGTCATTTTAAGACTTTCCTTAGATACTTTATTAAATCTGATGCTTTTCATTGTTTTTCATACCATTTTTCACAAAAGACTTCCTATTATCAACAAGTTGCTATAGGAGTAAGCCAACAGATTGTCAAGAATTGAAATAATCTAATAAACACCAGCCTTTCCCTCGTGTCCTTATAGCTTTTTAATATTATAATGTATATGCTATGTATATGTTAGTAGAAGAATTGTCTGTCTTAATTTTACTATAGCGCAAAGCTTTTTCCACAGTGAAGAAACGTTCTTTTGCTAAAATCAGTGTGCTAACATCCAAAGTGTTACTGCAAAAGAAAACAGACAATTTGCCTCTTTTGGTCTTTTGAAACAAAAATAGAGATGCTTATATCTATTGCCTGAAAAGGCTCAACTGAGAAAAACTGCAATGAGCATGTATGTGTGTTTTATGGTTGAGGTGACTGAAAAAAAGAAAAAGAGGAAAGTAAAAGAAAAAATTGTATGAAGAGCATTTGAGTTCTTCCACAAAATTATTTCAACTGTTTAAATGAAATTTTATATGCTGTCATCATGTCCTCAGAACAGGAAATTGGAGCACTTAATGAGCTAGTTAGTTTTACTGACTAGAGTTAGTGCATAATCACATTGATACATACGAATCTGAAGTATGTGTAATACGGTTTATACCATGTAAATAAATACATGTCTATACACTTAGACGTGTATTTGTAGATTACTCTTGAAATATTAAAATTTCCACATGCGTGTCCTTTTTGATGATCGGTCTATTGTAAAGTGTAGTTCAAATATTCTTGTTAGAGTTTATTTTCTCACAGATCCCTGAAGGATTTGCCCATGTAACTCCCATTCTCGTGTGCAAATCCCCTGTGTATTGATGGGAGAATGGGCTTCTAATTCCACACTAGAGCTGAAAGTAGGATTCTTAACCTTTACTCTCTTGTTGTTGAACTTATATAAGGCTAACAAAAGTTCTTTACCCTTTTTTCAGCAACGATTAAAAATATGTACAAAGTTACTGTTTTTCCACCAATACTTTTTGGATTCCTCCCCATGTGCTCACGCCCACACCTCCCTCCATCTTCAGTTCTCACAAGATCTACCTGCTATGTTTTTACTTACTTACTTACTTATTGAGTGGTTGAGGGAGACAGTTTCATACTGTACATTCCTACATGTGAAAAAAGAATATTCTCAGATTAGTATTTAAGCTTCATTTTTCTTCTGTTCAAAGTTGTAATTAATACATTATTTGCATTTTAGCTGTGCAGATGGGCAAAGCAGATATCTATTTATAAATTCTATTGATTCAGTTATTCTAATATTTGGTAGTTTTATACTTCATGTGTGCCAAGAACATTCTGGTTTTTGAAAATTGCATGAGATTATATATACATATCCTGGTAGATAGTGAATGAGTATTATATAAAATATTTCTATGGTAAAGATTACTAATAAAACAAGATAAGCAGATTTCCTTCAATTTTATTCTTTCCTTCTGAATTGAATGATTGGTAGATCAGACCAAGAAGATAAAATTCAATATGAAAATATATTCAACATAAAAATTCAACATAACCACACTAATGCCAGCATCTCATATTTGGGCTGTGTTTAAGGAGGCAGAGGGTCAAGTGGAAAAGAAAATCTAATTATTTGTAGGGGGTGGGGAAGCGTTTGGACACTCAAGGCAGAGTAAATGGAATGACTTAAATAACTGTGAAGA